CTAAAAAATAAAAAAATATATATAATTAAAAAAAAAAAAAAAGAAAAGATGATTTAACCCTGATATTACTGTAAATTATTTACCACTTTGCTCCCTGGTCCTGGCCTCTGGCTAAGGAACCCAGAACAACAGCAATGATTCCAAAATGTAGCAAGACAGGGCACTGCTCAAAGCATACATTATCTTGGTCATCTTACTGAGGTAGAAGATGGACTCTGGGGAGCAATGATGGCACTGCCCCTTTATCCAAAATGCCGCATACCCCTTCCTTTCCTGACTTTTGAACTTCTAGTGTGGACTTTTTCACTGCATTATGAGTGACCATGAGAGATGGGCAAACTGGATATGACTGGTAAATGGGGTGTTTATGCTGAGAGGGGGATGTGGTGGTCTGAATAAGAAATTTCCCCCATAGGCTTATGTATATGGACACTTGGTCCCTAGTTGATCTCACTTTCTGAGGAGGTTACAGAACTTTTAGGAGGTGCAGCCTTGCTACAGGAAGTATGCTGCTGGGAACAGGCTTTGATGGTTTGTAGCCCTGCCCCCCTTCCTGTGCTCTCGCTCTCCCTCTCTCCCTCTCCCTCTTTCTCTCCCTCTTTCTCGCCCTTTCCCCACTTCTGTGCTAATAAAATGTATTGGCCAGCCTTCTGCTCCAGCTGCCATGCCTTTACCATTAGGATAGACTTTATCTTCATTCTTAAGTTAAAAAAACAAAACAAAACTATAAGCCTCAATAAAAAATAAAAATCCCAGTTGTGTTGGCATTACATGTTTTTAAAGGCTTTGATATAATTTAGCCTGACAAGATATTTCCACTACAGTAGACTAATTCACTACTCATAATTTTATAAGGACATTATTTGCTTCTGGAACTTTACAAAGATTTTTCACTTATAATGTATTTTCTTTACAAATATAAGAAAAATTGATTTTCAAAGACATAATTTACTTGAACTTCACTTTGAAAATAAAATGGTTAAAGCCAAATTTCAGGTATTCCACTTGCCTGAAGTGATCTGTAAATTCCCACACCACCTTTGTTACAATTACTTAGAGTAAGAGCTACCTTTCTAACAAAAACACTGTACTATATCCACTTCCCCCCAAAAGGTTTTGTTTTACAAATAAGAGAATTTTTTTTTAACACATAAACTTCAAAACAAGTTTTTCCTTTTAGCAAAAATACTATCCAGAGCTGGGGAGATGGCTCAGCGGCTAAAAGCACTAGCTGTGTAAACCCAAGAGCTGGAGTTTGATCCCCAGAACCCAAGTTAAAAAAAGGGCAAATTAGGAGGTGTGTATCTGTAATCGCAGCACTCCTGTGGTAAAATGAGAGGCAGAGACACTGCACACACAATGCACATATACACATGCAGGTAAAACACTCATATAGATAAAATAAAAATATATAAATCTTTAAAAAAATGCTGTCCAAAAGATTATAGGGTGGCCATGCTGTTCGGTTTAGAGTAGATGAGCTGAACTAGGTGTGCACTAAGTGCTGTTAATTGCAAAACAACACTAAGGAGGGGGGATCATGGTCCTCGAGTAAAGTGCTCACTGGCTAGTAGTAAAATCCTGGTGGTTTCAGTACTGAAGGACACACCTTGGCAGCACGACTCTCTTCCTGTAGTGCTGCTACCCTCTGCTGGTAGGCACTCAGGGTGCGCTGGTGCTGCTCCGCAGAAGTCTTCAGGTGCTCATGGATTTTGTGTTTCTCAGATGTTACTTCAGCCAGCTGAATCTGGGCCATAAGTGGCAAACAGGATTACTTTTGGGTATTATTATCAAAAACAGAGACAACAGGAGTCAAACATTTTCTACTATACTATCATGTTCACATACACACACACACACACACACACACACACACACACACACAAAATGTTGATTTATTTTTTCTTAAACCAACATCTGCAAAATCAAAGACGATGTACTTAATGTTTAACTAAAAACAGCAAGACAGCTGGGTGTGGTGGCGCATGCCTTTAATCCCAGCATTTGGGAGGCAGAGGCAGGCGATCTCTGTAAAATTGAGGCCAGCCTGGTCTACATAGTGAGTTCCAGCCAGCTGGGGCTACAGGGAGACCCAGTTTCAAAAGAAACAAAACAAAACACCCAAAACCCAGCAAGACAGGTCAGGTATGGTGGCACATGCCTTTGAGCCCAGCACTCAGGAGGCAGCTGGCAAGTGGTTTTCTATGAGTTCTAGACCTGGTCTATATAGTGAGTTCCAGGCTAACCAGAGCCACATAGAGAGGTACCTCAAAAACAAAACAAAACAAAACTAAACTAAACAATGAATAAGACATTATTCATAAAAATATAAGAAATGTAAAACCATTTTAAAAATTGCTTCTTGCAACTGTAGTTTCATTCAGAGGATTCAGATGAGGTTTGAAGCCATGATTATCTTATTTTGCACTGTTCTAGGGTATTACAGATCTCCAAATAGATGATGATCATTTAGTTTAAAGCAAGGGGTATAAAACACTCTCCTACTTCCTCAAAAGGTCCCAAATCTTTCTAAATATCCTTAGAGGATTAAGTCCTTACTGGATAGTTACAATTCCTAAATGGTATTTTTACACTGAAAAAATTTTTTCAAAACTTAAAAAGCATAAAGAACCTTACTTTATATACTTCTACTTGCTGCTGGCTTGCTTCCAGCTCGCCCTTTAAAGATGCTTGGAGTATTAAGTGATCAGTTTCCTACGGAATAAGAATCTCAGTTAAATTAAAAAATAAGTGCTAAATTAAAAAATAAGTGCTAAAATACAATGATGAGAAACGAACATACTGCTTGCTTTGAATCTGCCAGCTCCTTCTTGGTTTTCACAAGCAGCTGTTTGATTTTGGTGTTTTTTTCTTCATAATGCTGTACTGAAGACTGCAGTGAAGCTAGTCCCAGAGGTTGTGGCAGAAAGAGATGAAACACAGTTTTATGAGTGAACATAATACACACAAGGCAAGACTTTTCTTCATATTCACTTACAAGAAATGCAATTTAGCTCTTCATCGTGAGATTTTTTTTTTCAAACTTTTGACAGCGTATTCCCCTGTGCCAGTTATCCATCTTGAACAATCACCAATACATAGCCGATCTTACCACATCCAGATCAAGGTTCACTGAAGTGCAGCTCACAAGTTAGTTTTCTGAATATAGTTTTAAAAAGAACATAGGCTCCTTCACTTGCGCGTGGCCTACTGCTGTGTTAGTGTGCTATACTGGCACCCGGAGTAATCACCACAGGGACTATGTAGCTCACGAAGCCCCAAATGTTTACTACTTATCTCTTTATAGAAAAAGTGTATATAGCTCTGATCTATATACCTTACCTACCTACTCGAAAACTCTACTGGATTATCGTAAAACAAATCCATTTGTTAGTAAATATTTCAGAATATATTGCCAGAATAAAAGTATACTTATATTTAGTATATATCTAAAAGTAGTCTTTAAAAAATGTACTTCAGGGCTGGAGAGATGGCTCAGCAGTTAAGAGCACAGACTGCTCTTACAGAGGATCCTGGTTCAATTCCCAGCACCCACATGGCTGCTAACAATTGTCCATAACTCCAGTTCCAGGGAATTCAACACCCTCTTCTGACCTCTGCGGGCACTGCATGGCATGGGTGTACCTGCACACATGTAGGCAATACAGTCATACACATAAAATAAAATAAATAAAATGAAAAAATATTTTAAAAGTACTTAAAATTCTGCTGGTCTACATAGTGAGTTCTAGGCCAGCTGGGGCTACAGGGAGACCCTTGTCTCAAAAAGACCAAAAAAAAAAAAAAAAAGCTGAGTATGGTGGCATAGGACTATAATCCCAGTACTTGGGAGGCAAAAGCAGGAGGATGATGAGTTCAAGGCCATCCTGGGCTACATAGCAAGTTTAAGGCCAGTCTAGGTTACATGACATATGGTATCAAACAAAAAATAAAACCCCCATCCCCCCCAAATAAAATTAAACCAAAAAAAAACCCCAAACAAAAAGTACCTTAAAAGAGATATTATGTATTTACAACTATATCACATACGAGGCACATACCTGGTCAATTGTTTTTGTGCTGGTAAATCAGATGGAATTAATCTTTTTTTGTGGAAGGACTGTTAGTGAAAGAGACTTTACTAAGGAATAAATAAAAATACAATAAAGGCAAAAAAAAATTCTTGCTAACAGAGGTCAAGAAAAAAAGCACAGATTACACATGAAGCCTTGCAAAATGCTCCAGGGGTTATGATAACCAAGGTAAATTCCTGAGATCAAAGAACATGGAGTAAAAGTAGGAGATGCATAAGATGATGTAAAGCAATGTCTACATGTTATTAACGAAACACGAAAGGCTACGTGGAGCCACATGTCTAAACGTTATGAAACTCCGCTTGTTCTATGTGGTATAACTTTCATAGATCAAGCAGCATTAGGATTAGGATTCAAAAAGGTGAGCCTGCAGTATGTGAGAGTGGGGGCAGGAAAGACAGAAACACAGAAGTGAAATATGCAGGGGCAGAAAACAACACACGCAGAGAAAACCCAATAGCCCTTTATCTCTTTAGCTGTGACAGAGAGAAAGCTACTTATGTGGGTTTTTCTTTGGACTCTCCCCTTCTCCCCCAACTCTGTCCTGAAGCTTCATTCTTTTTCTTCCCCAGCCTCCCAAGACCTTTGTTGCCATGGTGACATTTCCCAGATTCTGATGTTTGTCTTTGTTCTGGCTTCTGGAACTCTTGATGACACACTTCAGGAGATTACCAAAAACAATGATCTGACTTTTCTGTGGTTCTACCTCAGTATTTCCTCCCATACCTCTTCCTCTTCATTTATCATTGAAAGTCTTAGTGTATGGTAACGTCTTTGTAGCTACTTCAAATTATTTCTGGAAATTCCGCTTCTGGCCATGAGGGAGTCTAGACCACCTTCTTGTCATAAATAACTAAGCAACTGAACAACAGCAACAACAAAAACCCTTCTTTTCTGACACTGAACAATAAACAGCACAGGACTGTGATCCCTGAGGGACAGTAAACAAGGTGAGCCCTGTGCTGTTGTCTGCATGGAGCAACCTGCAGATGGTGGTGCAAGAATGGGAATTTGAAACAGGGCTACTGGTCTTGCTGAGGCCTGAACACCTGCTGGGGAAACATAATGAGTGGTGCTGCAATCTGAACACAGGGCTACAATTCACTCAACCAATGGGAATGCAAGGGCATTCAGAACCTGCACCACTGAGGTAGTGGGGTGGAACTACATCTATACAAAAGGCTATCTAGACTGATCATAAAAGAAATGAAAAATAATTCATAGAAGGTAAGACCTGATCTACAAATAAAAGCTTTCAGTGTTTAAATTTCTAAATAAATGCAAAAATATCTCATTGCTAAATCAATGGAAGTTTTTATTTTTCCGTACAAGGAAGAGAACATGATGTGTAGCTAGGAGAAAAGGAATCAATCAACAGAAACAGACCCATATGGTGGGATTAGCAAGCATGGACACTAAAACAGGTATTAAATGTGCTCAAAGGTTTAAAGGAAAACATTAACATAATAAAATGAAAAATGGAAAAATTAAAGAAATGAACCAAACAGAACTTCTAGCGATAGAATGACAGTATCTAAAGGAAAAATTTCACTATATGAGATTAACAGATTAAATACTATAGATCAATGAACTTGAAGACAGAAGAGGAACTATTCAGAAGACATGATAAAAGTAGAATAAGGTAGGTACAAACGGGCCGGGCACACTACTGTAAGAGTCAATAACATAGAAGGGGCTTAGCTAATTGAAGGTAATCCAAATAAGCTATTAAAGGGGATAAAATGATTGCAAAAATAACTCAAAAATAAAAAAAAAGAGGAAAAGGAAAACAGAATAAACAGCAACTGCAAAAGCACAAGTTTATACCAAATTTCATAAGCAATCATATGAAAATAAATGGCTTAAGTACTTCATTTAAACAGCTTCGTGGGAAAAGCAAGACCGAACTGTATGTAATTTAAAAGAACATAATAGGATTTGGGATTCAGTTCAGTGGTAGAATGCAAGGCCCCAGGTTAAAGCCTCAACTCTGAGGTGGGTGGTTAGGGGTTGGGGATGGGTTGGGGGGGCACACGGATTGATGTAACATGCATCATAGACTTAGGTTAAAAGTCAAATGTAAATAATAATCAAAAGAAGGCTGGAGTGGTTATAAATATCGATATTAGGTATAAAAAAGGATATTTCACAATATGAGTTATCAAATTAACAGGAATACACAACAATCCTAAGTATGACTATAGCTAATACCAGAGTTTCTAAATAAATGAAGCCAGAAAGTGACTGAACTGAAAAGTAAAAGAGAACTGCAATTATGGCCTGAAATTTCAATATAACTCTCCAGTAAAGGGAAAAATTATTACTATGACTTAAAATCAGATGACATAAGCCGGGCATGGTGACGTGTGCCTTTAATCCCAGAGGCAAAGGCAGAGGTAGGCTGATCTCTGTGCGTTCAAGGCCAGCCTGGTCTACATAGTGAGTTCCAGGCCATCTGGGGCTACAGGGAAACGCTGTCTCAAAAAAAAAAAAAAAAAAAGGCCACAGCCGGGTGTGGTGGCGCACCCTTTTAATCCGAGTACTCAGGAAGCAGAGGCAGGCGGATCTCTGTGTGTTCAAGGCCAGCCTGCTCTACATAGTGAGTTCTAGGCCGGCTGGGGCTACAGGAAAAGATCCCCCCCCGAAAAAAACCAAAACAATAAAAAAAGGCCACCCCCCCAAACAATCAGATGACTTAAATCCCCCTGCCACTAACAAGATCTAATAGACATCAGAGAGAACCTTCTATTCAATAGCTAATACATAGTAACACATTGTTTTCAAGTACACAAGGAACAGTCACTGAAATAAATCATGTCAAGCCATAAAACAAAACTCAACACATTTCAAAGGCTGACTGAAAATCAGAGTATTTACTGTAATTGCAAAAGACTTACATTTGAAATAGAGATATTTGAAAAAAAAAATTCTCCACATATTTGAAATTAAACAAAACATTTCTATATGACGCAGGGAAATGACTCAAACTAAGACTATAACATCAATTCGTGAGATATAGTTCTAAAGTGCTTAAAGGTAAATTAATATAGTGTTCAATGTTAACATTAGAACCTATTTTTATGGACAAAAATGGATAAAATCACCTTAAAAAGGAATGTTTCATTGCTATTTAAATTTTCCTAATCTAGCTGGGCATGGTGGCACATGCCTTTAATTCCAGCACTCAGGAGGCAGAGGCAGGCAGATCTCTGTGAGATGGAGGCCAGTCTGGTATACATACCAAATTTCAGGCCAGCTATGGCTACAGGGAGACCCTGTTTCAAAACAACAAAACGAAACAAATTTTTTTCCCTAATCTACCGACCACAAAGAAACTGTAGATAACTAATTCTGTCTTTGTTTATTCAGACAGCAGGTACCTGCTGACTATTAACTCCTTAATGACAAATGGCTTGACCCCCTTGCTGGTGATTAAAGACTTGCAGGAATGAGTAAATAGTGCTTCCCCCTTCAGCCAGTTTTGAAGCAATTACAAAGTGAACTGTTCTACTCACTTATTTCTTCTTGTAGGGTTTCTTGTTTCTGTTTCTGAATTTTTATTTCTTGCTCCAAATCTTCTATCTTGCTGTTTTTATTAGTTAACTTCTGATTTAGTTCCTTCATCAAACGTTCATAATCTGCTATTTCCATATTCATCAATGTGGTCTGTTGGGCATCCTGCATGTTTTATAAAAGACCCACATATTAATTAGGCCAGTCAGTCATACTGTGAAATTGGTAAAATCATGCCACAGGAACAAATAAGCTTCATTATATTGTTCTAGAATATAGAAATAATGTAAACAGTAAAAAGGAAATGAGAAGTTGGACATTTTCTATATTTAATTTCATAAAGTGTTTCTAATAGCTTAATCAACTTCCTTAATTTCATTTTGACTACAACTGTCATTAACACAACTAGTAGTTTTAGTCTTATAATGATTTTATTATGAAATATTAGTATTTTAGATAACTTACAGTATTTTTTCTAGAGTAATCTTAGAAAATGTAGAGAAAAAGTATCCAAATTATAAGCTTTGATATTAATAAAATCTTAATGTGTCATACAACAATGATACACACACAGAAAATGAAACAAACCAGTGTGTAATAAGTCATGAACCTAGACTCTTCTCAACAGATAGGTGTTTAGAGAAATAAAGCTAAAGTTTCAATTTATTGAGACTAACAATTTAGAAAGGATTATTTTAGCATTATAAACACTTAAAATTTTTTTTTGTAGGTAGGATAGCTCAATAATATGATCTATTATTTTATGAACAGCTTTCTTTTGATTTTGAGGTTTGTAGGGTCCTAGGCATGCTAGGCAGGCACTCTGTCACAGATTTATATCTCTAGAGACTCTAATTCCCTTAGCTTTAATTATTATTATTATTATTTTACCTTTTTAACCAGCTCTAATTCTTGCATGGTTTTCTGAAGCTGCTTCTTTTCCTTTTGAAATTGCAGCTGAAGTTCTTCAAGTTCACTTACAGTACTGGCATGTTCCTAAAATTAAAAACATAAACATAGCCCCATAACCCAAACATTAAATATGCTATGTGTTAGGGGATAGAACATAAATTCCACATACAAAAACTAAAAGATGTTTGGTAATCTTTCAAAGTTTTAGAAACTATACACCCAGAAATCATAGCTTACAATGAATCTTCAAATTCAGAGGCAAACATTAAGGGGTTAACTGCTGTTCTCACAAATACTACTCTTCAGCAAGCCTTTTCTTCATTCAAATAACATTTGATTAAAGTATCACTGTATATATGTGAATCAATCTCAGGACTGTTCTTACCTTAATCTTCTGCTCTTTCTGAAGTTTTTCAGCTTCCAATTCTTTATCTACCATTCCTTTGGCTCTCTCGACTTCTAAAATCTGGGCTTCTAATACTTTGGCATTAGACTGCAGTGTCTCAATACGAGCCAGGAGGTCCTCGTTGTCTGAACTTAGCTTTTCACACTGGAATAATGAATGATTCATTACTGTGAACATGCAGTAAATACATACAGAAGACAAAATGCTTAATGAGAACATTAAAACATTATGAAAAATGATTTCAAATCAATTCCACAGAACGACAGTTAAGAGTAAGTTTGACAGACGACCACTACTGATACTGACATGGCAGACCTCACAAGCAGGAAAGACCCTGCTCCTTTCACAGAGCAAAGGTGGAATGAAAAAACCAAACAAAAATCTTGGTGAACTGAAATTAGCTCGAGGTCTTCAAGCTCATTTACAATGCTGGCACATTCCTAAAACGAAAACCAAAAAACAACCCCACAACTCAACCAATATTAAGAAAAATTTAAGTTAAGATAAGCTATTGTCAGCTGTTTTTGCCAAATGTCTTTCCTAATGCAGGTAAATCAAAGAGAAATTCTGTTTCTATTATATTTTTTTTTTAATGTAAAAGGCATTGAGGATAAAACATTGTTACTATAATTTTCATGCCTAAATTCACTCAATTTAAAATTACCTGAAAAGTTGAATTTCTTAACTGTTTGGTAAGCTCTTCTATATGATGTTCAAAGTTACCAGCACGCTCTTTTTCCACATCCAGCTGTTCTGACTGCTTGTCATACTCTAACAAAAGATTCTTCAATAAAAGACAAGAAGATTTAATCAGTTTTTAAGCATTCAATAGGTCAGAATATATAATCAAGCCATCTTGATATAAGTCATATGAGGACATCTGAGATGCTTAAAATATTTAATATATTCTTATGTAAAGTAACATTTGAAAATATGACAAAGCATTAGTATCCTTAAATATTTAAAGTCTTATAAATTCATTTAAAAAACACATTGAGGCCGGGCGTGGTGGTGCACGCCTTTAATCCCAGCACTCAGGAGGCAGAGGCAGGCAGATCTCTGTGAGTTTGAGGCCAGCCTGGTCTACAGAACGAGCTCCAGGCCAGCTGGGGCAACAGGGAGACCCTGTCTCAAAAATACTCCCACCTCCCCAAAAAACACATTAAAATTTAAATGTGAGCTTTTTCATCGTTCATGAGGCAATTACATTAGGAGTGTGCTCCTTTACATTTATGAGACCCTATAATCTATTAATTATCTCCAGAATTAGGCTAGGTATAGAAATCTTATTAAGTTTAATCTTTCAATTTTTAAAAATATTTTATTTATTATTTTTATTTTTATGTGAACGAGTGTATTATCTCCATGCATGTGAGTGCATCTATGTTGTGCAATGCCCTTAGAGGTCAGAAGAGGGTGTCGGATCCCCTGGAACTGGAATTACAGACAGCTGTTACCATGTTGGTGCTGGGATTTGAACCTAGGTCCTCTGCAAGGGCAGTCAGTGCTCTTAACTGCTGAGCCATCTCTACAGCCTCAATTTTTTAGCAGTTAAAAAAAATACTCATTTTTATTTTATGTGTATGAGTGTTTTGCCAGCATGTACAGAAATGTACCCATGCATTCAGTGCCCATGGAAGCCAGAAGAGGGTGACAGATTCCCTGGAACTGCAGTTATAGATGGCTGTTAGCTGCCACGTGGGTGTTGAATTTGGGTCCTCTCCAAGAGCACCCAGTGCTCTTAACCACTAAGCCATCTCTCCAGTCTCTTCTTCAGTAATTTAAAAAATTGCTTTTAAGTTAAAAAAAACAAACCGTATTTTGTATCAGAAGTCAGTAAAGGGCTGAATATTTTTTTTTTCTTTTTAAAAAGATACTTATTTATTTACTATCTTTTTTTTTTTTTTGGTTTTTTTTGAGACAGGGTCTCCCTGTAGCCCCAGCTGTCCTGGAACTTGCTATGGAGACCAGGTTGGCTTTGAACTCACAGAGATCCGCCTGCCTCTGCCTCAAAGGGCTGAATATTTTAAAACCATTTTTAATACATATAGAATTTATTTAGGTGTCTGTAGTGAAATAAAGACCCAATTAGATTTTTTTTTCCAACTAGCTTTCTAATTCCTTCTTCACTCATTTCTATTTGCAAATTTTGTGACAGTATAGCTTAGTTGAGACCCTATAATCTCCTATGCTGTTGTGCTGTGATCTTTAAGTGTCTGTCTGTCTCTCTCTCAGAAGCAATTTTTAAATTTTGTTTAAAAGTTTGTAATTTTATGTGTGTTTGGTCTGCATGTATGTAAACGTATCATGTGCATGCCCAATACCTGCTGAGTTACAGATAGGTGCTAGCTGACATGCGGGTGCTAGGAACAAAACCTGGGTCCCCTGGGAGACCAGTAGGTGCTCTTAACCACTGAGTCATCTTTCCATTCCTTGAAGTCTCTTAAAACTTTTAAATCTGTGACCATGAATCTCAGTGTCTTATATTGCTCTCTTGTAAACTGATGATGCTGAAATCATACTTCTACTGGCTCTTTTGAGAAATACATGTACTAAGACACATGAAGTGTTTAGAAGAGAGCCCGGCATACATGTTGTTATGTAGAAGTCTCTATCTCTTCTGTTAAGTGCTCTGATTCTGACGTCAGAGTGCCACTGTTCATCCTCTTCTTCCTACTCACCTTTCTACACAGCAAGAGTCTTGTCCGCTTGTCTGTTACTGCCATTGGAATTGAAGACTAAGAGGACAGAATTTAGGAATGTTTGTGGTCTATCTGGTTGACTATCATCTGTCTAGAACTCAGAATTTAGTCCATCTATGAAAATATTTGTTAAATGACTAAATACATGAAGAAATTTTGTTGGACTCTAAAATATTTTTAGGAGTCTCTTGTTACTCCTGTTATTAATTTAGACAAGTATATTACCTCCAACTAATGATGTTTCTACTTTCCTGTTAGATCTATCTTAAGTTTCAGGTATATTCACTTGGCCAGAACAACAATAAGTAACATTAGCAGACAATTTTTGTTACTTTTTTAATGAGAAAAATCTCCAAATAGAATTTTAGTTAATAATTTAAAGGTACTATTCAAAGGTTAACCTCTTCTTTACATTGCACAAAAACAAAACTAGGGACATTTTTCACTAACAAAAACAAAGTGACTGTTTTATGTATGAGTTTTAGAATTCAAGCATTTCTATTAGTATGAATATAACTTGTTATTAAAGTAACCATTTTACCTTATAGCTTTCTGCTCCTTGAATGAGCTCTCTCACTGAAGCAGACAGCCGATCCTTCTCTGACCGGGCAGATTCAAGCTCTTCCCTTAGTGTCTGCGCCTAGTGTAAACATACAGCAAAGTGTTTTACATGGACAAAACGACTGTTCATTTTCTACATAAGAGCCCAAATCTTGTGTCTCTAAGTTGGCTTACCTCTTTTCTGTTAGAATCCAGTTCTTTCTTGGCTTTCACAGCAACTAATTTTATCTTACTTATTTTCTCATCTTTCTCTTTGGATTCTTTTTCTAGATTTCCTAAAAAATAGAAAATGAAAGAACTATATATGAAGTCATAAGGAAAAATATTGAAATTACCTAGTTTAACCCTAGAAAGCAGATTTTATTCTTGAGAACAAAATTTGCAGCTTTAATGTATGGTAAGCCCAAACTATAATAATTTTTTAAAAGAGAAACTTTAATTTTTCATTGGCTAAGAGAAGTAAATTATCTAAAACTGCTTTTCAACTCTGTAACAATCCACTTTAAAAAGCCAAGTCATAAGCATCTAGAAATTGAGCAATTAAGAATCTTTTAATGTTGAGTATGCTAGGATTTTGGAGACAGTCTGCAAATCTGGACAAGTAAAAAAGACACAATATGAAGCTAAATAACCATGCACATTCCTCCTCTAGGCTGGTGGACCTGATTTTTTACAACTAAATATGCTTGACTTACCCAATTCTGATCTCTTCCATTACCCTATCCAACTACTTCTATTTAAACTTGAGTTTAGGACTTTACTTTTGTTACTGTTTCCTGTTCAATGGGAGGGAATACATATGTGGTACTGTAAACATAGCCAAATATCATGGTTGGAGAGGTCGTAGAGTCTAGAGAAAAACCTAAATGTCACATTCCCAGACAAATGTAATTTCTTAGTATGCTAAATATGTATCCTTATATTTACAGACAAGTATACCAGTCACCACTCATCAAAGAAGCTTCTTTTTGCAACATATAGAGACTATTACAGAATTCTACAGAGAATAAGCAGCATCTCTGATATGCCCAGTCCTAATTGACACATCTACAATGGAATCTCTACACCTAAGTCTTAGGGAACATAGTGGTACAAGGGGCAGAGAGAATATTAATACATCTCTCAACTCTCACCAACAAAGCTTCCTCATGCAACAGATGGTGATCAACACAGAAAACTACAACTGACCAAAATGTAAAAGATTGAGACTGCAGAGCACATGTCCCTGGATAGGACTCCTATATTAAACCTCTTCTACTCGGGATGAGAGGAGCATTGTGGAAGAGGGGGCTGAAGGACTGCAAGAGCCAGAGGTGGTAGATGACCACAAGCAAACAGTTTTCCAAGTGGCTGAGAACTTATTCATATGAACTTACAGCAATGGTGAACAGCATGCGCCAGATCCATGCAAACTCAAACCAGACAAAACCCAGCATAGAAGTGGGGAAATGGGTAAGAAGCCCCAACCTTAGCTGAGGAACTATTGGCAACTGATCACTGCTGGGTGACAGAGAATTAGTCTTCTTTAAGGGAGTGATACTAGATAGGTTGACCAGGCTCCTGGGGAGGAACTCACACTGAGGAAAATCTGGGGACACAAACTTGACTTGAAGGCCCTATCATATATGACAGAATGCATGAAATCCAGAGGGGAGGGTAGGAGGGGATGCAGATAGGGGAGGGTGTCTTAGTATGATTAAGATGTAGTATATGAATTGTACAAAAACTCAATACAATTTATAAAAAAATTATTTTTATGTGTATTTTGTCTCCATGTATGTAATGTAAGTGAACTACATGTGTGCAGTGCCTACAGAGGCCAGAAGAGGCCACTGGATCCCCTGGAACTAGAGTTACTGACAATTAATTGTTAGCTGCGTGTAGGTGCTGGGAATCAAACCTGGGTCCTCTGCAAGAGCAGCCAGTGCTCTTAATTGCCGAGCCATCTCTCCAGTCCCTTGTTAACTTTTTTAAACTAGAGTTAAGATTTCTGTTCATATCTGTTAGTCTGGGTGGAGTTGTATACAATGAACTGTGTAGACACTTCCAGAGTTCATAGGTAATCACATGCCTCCACACCTATTCAAGTATCAGAGCAGCAATTCCCCTGCTCCAGTGGATGCCTCATCTCCCAACAGCTTATAAACATACAACAAAACATATTATCAAGGTTGGTGAGAGGGCTTAGAAGTTAAAGTGCTTGTCATGCGAGTCTGAGGACCTGAGTTTGATCCCTGTACCCCCATAGTGAAAGGGGAGAACTGACTCCAGAAAGTTGTCCTTGGACCCCCACGTGTGCTGTGGCATGCAGGTGCCCTCACATACACATCATATACATACAATAAAAATAAATAAAATTAAAAAAATCATCCATATATCAGGAATAAATAATAGAAGCAGGTAAAGAAGGCAGCGTTCATAAGAGGACAGGTGAAATGACATATACTCTTACTTTCCCATGAATAAATAAATCACACTGCTCCTTTCATAGAGCAAAACCCTTCAAAGAGTTGTCTGAATTTTTCTCTAGAACCCACTATAACCAAGCTCTGGTCTTAGCACACCAGGGACACCAGGGACACTGTCCTCTATGTTGTTTAACTCAATGAATACATCTTGGTACTCATTATGCTAGACCCACAAGCAGCATTTGCCATGGCTAAATGTTTCATGTCTTGCACCTGACTTAACTTTAAAAACTTCTTTTGTTCTCTATTTCCTTATCTCACTAGCTGCCTCTCCTCAATCTCTGCTGTTCCACCATTTAAAGATGGGAACAGTCTCTGGTCCTCATCTCTTTATACTGCTTTGGTGATTTCAACCTTTGGCTTTTAATGTCCATAATTTAACTACACACTTACCCCTTTTGGGCTAATTATCTCAATTCCAGATTTACATAGTATTCTATGTGACATATCACTTGAATTGGTAAACCTAGTCTAAAACTGAGCATTTTACAATTACCCCTTACAGGAAATTGGGAGTCATTCTAAACTCTTTTCAACTCTCCCTTCCCCAATCTAATTGGGTACTAATCTAAGGAATCATGGGTATATCATATAACACTTTAAAAAATCTTCATTTTTCAACAGAAACAAAAGAGCTGGCCCATAAAGTTACCGATAGGAACAAAAGTTTAACTCTTCTGTTATCATGCTAGTGTATTTACGATCAGTCACATCCTCAAGAACTTCCTGGTACTCTTTATGTTGTAAAAAATGTTACTGTTTAAGCACCTACTATTCCTTCTCACTACAATACTTTTCTCTTGTATCACACTTCATAATTCTTCAAGATTCAACAGAAGACACTATTCCCTGATGTTTTCTCAAAACAGGCAACTTCCTACGCTATCAGCACTTTGTTTTGTCCACACCTCAAACTTCTGCCCTTAACATCCTCTTGCCAATGAGTTCCTTGAGCAAACTGTTCCTTGTTGGCCTTGTATTACCAGTATCTACAACAGCTGAGTACTCAAAATGTCTGCTAAGTGGCTAAGAAAAAGAAAAAAAAAGTCCAACAACACTTCACAGAATCATTTACGATCAGAACTGCAGCAGTGCTTTGGTTTGGATCAAATTATAAAATGACAGAAAGTGACACCTAAAACAAAAGGCAAGCAGATGGCAGAAGGGCAGCTGGAGACTGAGGAAAAGGCAGTGAATTACTGAGTATTTAAACATTCATTAACTACACTCTAAAACTAGTAAGATTTGTCTAATTACTGGTGACAACATATAGAAAGCCATAGTTACCTATTTTTTCTTCCAGCTCTTTTATCAATGAGAGTTGATCATTTTTTACTGAAGGCGATTTCTCTAAGGAATCCTAGATTTCATAGGGGGAAAAAACCAGAAACCACAAACAGAATTCATTTCATTCCCCATAATACATTTATTTTATTTTAATTTATTTATTATTTATTTATTTATTTATATTTATTTATTTATTTAAGCTTTTTGAGACAGGGTCTCCCAGTAGCCCTAGCTGGCCCGGAATTCACTATGTAGACCAGGCTGGCCTCGAGCTCACAGAGATCCGCCTGCTACATTTGTTATTTAAATATGACATTTTAAGCATGAGAAATCTTCACTAAGAGAAACCATATAAACAGCAATTAGTATTCTTTGGTCTATCAATAGAAGAAAGGGAAAAAAACAAAAACAAAACCCAAAATGTGTATATGGCATTTATTGTAAAAAAAATAGCTAGGGCAAGATGAATAATCTGAAACATATCAAATATGTAATAAATGATTAAATAGTTATAGTTTAACCTCCACAACACAATTTTTAAGAGAAGCTTAAATTTTTAATGAAACTGAAATACTATAAACCATTTTCTTGATCAATAGTGCACGTTAAGAAAAATACTATCTATAGCATAGAAGAGGGAAATTCCAATTTTTTCATTATAGTTTTTAAAAAATATTTTTATTTTATGTGTATGAGTGTAGTGCCTGCATGTGTGTAAGTGCACCCATGCTGTACAAGGCCCACAGAGGTCAGAAGAGGGTACTGGATCCCCTGGATCTATACAGATGTTTGTTGGCCACCATGTGAGTGCTGGGAACCAAATCCAGGTCCTCTGCAAGGGCAGCCAGTGCTCTTTATTGCTAAGCCATCTTTCCAGCCCACAATTATAGTTTTGCTAATGACTAGTTACACATTTAAATGAGATATACCACAAGAAAATGTTGAATTCACTTATCAGAAATTTGCTACTTGAGCTTAAATGCTAAAAATTTACTTTTGATTTCAAAGTGTAAAAACGTTAATATTATTTTTTACAACCTATGACCAAGCTAGATTTGAAACAAAATTCAAAATAGTTAAGTAGTACCTTTAGTAACACCAATTCCACTTTCACATCTTGCAATTCAGATTCTTTTGGTTCAAGTAATGGCTTTAGGTTTTCATGTTCCATTACAGGAAGTTTTTCGTTATGGATTTCATTTTTGCTATGTAATGTTTGAGATAATTCTTCAACTTGAGTTGAAAGATTCTGATTTTCAAGCCTTGTTTTTTCATTAGCATTCTTCATTTCTAAAAGATCAAATTGCAAGGCTTCTTTTTCGGACATGGATTCTTCTAATTCTTTTCTTAAAAGGACTTTTTCTTGTTCATAGTCTCTTAGTAAAGTCCTAAGTTCGTCACACTGAACTATATTCTCTTCCTGAAGGCACTTAATCTTTTCTTCTAACTTTAAAACTCTTTCATCACATTGAGACACCAGGTTATGTTTTTCTTCATTTAATTTTGCTAAGGATTCACCTATAGCTTGTAGGACTTTTGTAACATCTTCCTCTTCATTTTCTTCTGAAAAATTTGACACCATTTGATTAAGATACCCATACATCTGAGTTCTGACAAATGACTTCTGAACTTGCTCACTTTCAAGCAGCTTATTTAAATTATCTCGCTCTTCAGCCATTATTTGAAGCTCCTTTTCTAATTTGGTGATATGTTCTTTAAGGACACAATCCTTTTCTGATTGTAGAGCTTCCAAATCCCTTCTCATCTGGTCCTTTTCAGAATTTAGTCTATTATTTTCCTCATGAAGAGATTTAACTTTAGCTGACAATGCTTCCTGGTCCTCAGACATAGTTCTCATTTGAACCATAATGATTTGGTCATTTTGATCCTTTTCTCTCAATATCTTGTCTAGTTTTCCAGTTAATTCATTTACTGTTTGTTCAAGTTCACTGTTGTACTGGGCGGTTTGCTCCACTTTCTCCCTGAGTTCTATCACCAACCTCTGTTCCTGTTCACATTTTTGATGGAGATTATCTATCTCTTCATGGGAATTTTTAATTTTATTTATGAAATCATCTTTTTCCTCGGCAAGAGAACTTATCTTTGCTTCTAATTCTTGTAACATTGTATCTCTGTGACATCTTTTTCCTCGGCATGAGAACTTATCTTTGCTTCTAATTCTTGTAACATTGTATCTCTGTGACTGATACTAAGTAAGTACATGTCATTGCTCTCCTGAAGGCTCTTTATGGTAGTTTCAAGTTCTGGTACTAATTCCTGTTGAGACAGTAACTTCTCATTTTCTCCTCGAAGAAGATTCACAGTTTCAAGAAGGGCATCTTTTTCATTAAAAGCAGTTCTGAGCCTCTGCTGAAGTTCATGAACATCAGATGCTTGCTGTTGCTTCATTGTTTCAAATTCTTGACTTATTTTTCCAGCAGATTCTCCTAGTTCTGTTTGTAAAATTTCCATAACCTCTCGCAAACTTTCGTAATTTAGGATTGCTTCTTGCTTTTCTTGTTGTAGACTTTCACATTGTTCCTTCAGACCCTGTATTTCAAACATTAATGTTAATTTTTCTTTTTCTGAACCTGACAAAAATGCCTCATTCAGTTCAGATATTTCTTTTTGGTGGTGTTCCCTGAGATTCTGTACTTCTTTGTTATGCTGTTCCTCAGCACAGCAAAACTGTTTATTTAAATCTTCTAGCTCATATTTTAATTTTTCTATTACAGAGCCCTGTTCTTCTTTAGCTAGTAGCAGTTCATTAATTTTAAATTCCAAGTCTTCTCGCTCATGAAAAAATTCATCCTTAATATGCTGGGCATCCATTTCAAGTTTCAATTTAAGATTATTCATGTAAGTCACTTCATCTTTTAAGATACTGTGTTGAGATTCAAGTTCTCTTAAGGAATCTTCCAACTGTTTGACTTTTTCATAAGCTGCTTGTTCTACAAAAGTATCTTCTTGTAAGAGTATAGAACAAATCTGATCTTCTTGGTTTGTATTTGAGGTGCCTTTCCTTAAGTTTTCCAATTCACATTGGTATTTCTCCCGAATGTTCTTCTCACTTGCCTCGCACTGTTTTACTATGACCTCTTTGAGCTGGTTTAGTTTATTTATTTCTGCTTCATGTTCTTTAGCTGATGTTTCAATTTGGGACATCAATTCTTTCACTTCTTCTCTGTGTGTAGCTTTCAGCTGCAAGAGCTCTTCTTGTAAACTATGAATATCTTTTTGGTAGTGTTTAGAGTTCTCCTCAATGACTTTTTGGAGATGCATAATCTCTTGCTTCTTTTCATCAGTGGTAGCTTCTAACTGCTTTTGTAGACATAAAATTTGTTCCTCAAACACCGGCTTAATTTTCTGAATCTCTTCTTGTAGTTTTCTAACATTATCTTCAGAGTCACTCCAATATTTAAGTTGTTCTAAAAGCTCTGAGTGTTTATTCACTGCTTCCTCCAGTTCTTTTTGTAAGCTAGCTTTATCTTTACTGTATTCCGAATGTACTGCCATCAATTCATTTTTCAAGCTTTCAATTTCTTTTACATAGTTTCTATGTGATTGTTGAAACTTTTGGTGTGAATCTTCCATTTTAGTCACAGAATCCTATTACAAAAATAAGCATAAATAAATCATTTAAATAAGACAAAAGCAATCTCTACCCTCAGGAAAGGGTTAACTATAGGTAACCTACAGAGAAAAAGAAATGAACACAAATGAACCTAGAGAAATACACTGAGATTTCAAGACTTTTGCTTAGGCATTGCCTACCTTAAGTAGGACAATATGTATCATTAACACAAAAATTAATAACTACTAGGAAACATCTGCATTTAATTATCTTTTAAAAGGTAATAAATTATGTAAGTCATAAAGCTTCAAGTTATAGTTCCTGAATAGACTAGTAAGAGACTTTGGGGAGAAAATTGGCCCAAACTTTATAGACTATAGACAAGAAAGTAAAAATGTGCTATCAAAATCATAAACCTGAACAGATAATGGTATTTAGAGATGTGAAAAGCTTGTTTTAAAATTTTTTATTAGAGGAGCTGGAAAGATGGCTCAGTGGCTAAGAACACTTGCTGTTCTTCCAGAAGACCTGGGTTTGACTCTCAGTACTCACATGGCAGCTAACCATCTATAACTCTAGTTCCACGGGATCTGACACCCTTTTCTGGCCTCAAGAGGCACTGGACATATGTGGTACACTTACATACATGCAAGCAAAACACTAATATACATAACAATAAGCATAATAAAAACTTTCATTAGAGAATGACATTATGGCTGTAAGAAAAGATTAAACAACATAGGATGTAACTGTTAGCTCCACTGTAGCAGAACTGCCTGATTTCTGTATTTTTTAACTGTACTAGACAATGAATCCAGGGCTTCCACACACTAGGCAAGTACTTTCCTACTGAGCTATATTCCTAGCCCTTTTGCTTTTGGAGACAGGGTCTTACTAAGCTGGCCTTAAACTTGTTCTGTAGTGTAGACTGGTCTTGTACTTGTGAACTTCATCCTTTAGTCTCCTACATAGCAGGAAGGATAGGCCCAGGCCGCAAGGGCTGACATTTTTTTTGTGTTAAATGTAGTCAGACTGGATTAAATACCCTTTAAAAAATTAAATTGTGTATTTGTGTTGTGGGGGTATGAGGTATGTGTGCTATGTAGAGAGGGCAGAAGGCAACTTGTGAGAGTCAATTCTCTCCTTCTACCATGAAGGTTCTAGGGACTGATCTCAGATCATCAGGCTTGGTGGCAAGTGCCTCTATCTTCTAAGCCATCTTGTTTGGCTCCCTTTTGAGACAGTGCCTTACAATATATCCCAGGCTGGCCTTGAACTTGCCATGCTCCTGTCTCAGCCTCGCAAGTATTGGCATGTATCCCCATACTTGGTTGGATAAGATTTACTTAGCTGTAAAATCCATGAATACAATAACTTAATAACAACTAAAGAACATTAAGCATTGTCTTACCTCAATCTCTTGCTTCATTTTCATATTTTCTTTCTTTAGACAAAGACACTGCTGCTCAGTCTCTGCTTTTTCCAGAAGAATAGCATCCAGACGTTCAGTTAATACCTATGTTGGAATGAGACGATTTGTTTGCTTGAAGTTAAAAAACACAGAAGCAGCTGGGTATGGTAATGCTTGCCTTTAATCCAAGCACTTGGGAGGCAGAGGCAGGCGGATCTTTGTGAATTTGAGGCCAGTCTGGTCTACATAGTGAGTTCCAGGCTAGCTGGGGTATAGGGAGACCCTGTCTCAAAAAGACCAAAAAAAAAAAAAAAAAACAAAAACAAAACCCCAAACTAAAACACGGTGGCTTGATTATATACGAATAATTAGATTCCTACCTTGTTTAAATTATGCTAAAGAATAAATGATTCAAAAAGGTATAAACATTAAGAACAAAGGAAAAAGGAAAAAAGATGTCCATGACATGAAAAATTTCCAACACATTTCTGGAAAACAAAGTGAAGGGAAGTAAACTGAATCAGAAAGACAAAACTGTAACATAAGGTCTGTGTAGGGAAACACATATAAGAAGGTGGTAGCAAACAGTTTTCAGAGACAAGATCTCAGGAACTGGCGATGCCAGGGTCTAAGGGCATACAGCTCAGTAGTAGAGTGCTTGCCTAGCATGTCTGAGGGCTGGGTTCCATTCCTGGCATTATGAAAACAAACAAACAAAAAAAGCCAACCCTGCCTCCCAACAAATTAGAGGTATTGTCACGGGAGATGAGGTGGGTCTCAAACTTTGAGGATGGGGGACTGGAGAGATGGTTCAGCATTTAAGAGCATATACTGCTCTTACAGAGGACCTGCATTTGGGAGGCTCACAAACACATGTAACTCCAGCTCTAAGGAATCTGATGCCCTCTTCTGTCCTCTGTAGGTACCTACACTCACATGCACATACTCCACCTCCACACACATAATTAAATAAATATAAAGAAATTAAAGAAACAATAAAAGCAAATATTCAAAAATATTGAGGATTGGGCCAGACATGGTAGCTCATGCTACAGGGACCCTGTCTCAAACAAACAAACAGACAGACAGATGGATGGGTGCCTGGGTCACAATCTGAATAGGGAATCATCTCAAGAACATGAAGGAAATAATCTATCCTTCTCCTTTTAAGAAAAAGTTTTATACTCTATAGAAAATGAGTGAAAAGAGAAGTTAATGAAATCAAACCAGATTAACACCCCAAGTCAGTTCTTTTTTTTTAAAAAAAGGGAACAAAACAGATACCTTCTACCAAGGTTGATGAAAGAACTCAGAGGTCTCTCTCTCTCTCTCTCTCTCTCTCTCTCTCTCTCTCTCTCACACACACACACATACACGCACATGCACACACACACTAAATAAATAAATAAAAGACTGTAATCACCAACAGAAATTTCAATATAGGAATGGAAAAATAAAAGGCAAGGATAGTATTAGAAAAAAATGAACCAGATTATGAAAGACATAAAGATTAGAGCTGGGCGTTGTGGGGTACGCCATTAGTCCCAGCACTTGAAAGACAGAGGCAGTTGGATCTCTGTTGAGTTCAAGGCCAGCCTGGTCTACATAGTGAGTTCCAAGCCAGCTGGAGCTACAGGGAGACTCCGTCTCATAAATACATATATATATTAAAAAAAAGAAAGATTAAAAAGGAAAATTTGTTTACAGATCACATGAGCACTTATAGAATAAACAAACAAAGCCTAGAAGAACCCACAGGGAATTAGAAACAATTGAGAAATTCAGAAACATAGCTAGATACAAGATTAATATAAAAGTTTTCCATTTTGGATATTAGTAGATACAAGAATATAAGTTTTCCATTATGGATTATTAGTAGCAAGCAATTAGAAAACATAATTCAATTACAATGGTGTCAAAGAACACAGAGTAGGAATATTATCAAAAGAGACATGAAGTACTTCCACGGGGGGGGGTCATAAAATTTTACAAATTCATGCAATTCCAACCATTGACAAGTTTTTCAGTTCTTGATATCAATGAAAACTTCAGGTATCAAGAAATCAACTCCAGATGAATTAAGAATTAAATGTCAAAAACAGCTTTAAAATGCTTTTTTTTTTTGATAGGATCTCCCTAGTCAGAGCCCACCTGGAAGTCACAATGGGAAGCAGGGTGGCCATGATCTTGCAGAGATCCACCTGCTTCTGCCTCCCGAGAGCTGGGATTAAAGGTGCATGCTACCATACCTGGTGTTAAATTCTTTTAAATAGGAGGTCAAAGAAGAGTTATAAATACGGATTTCTCTCTCTCTCTCTTTTTTCCACTCCAAGGGAGTAAGAGATAATTTATTCTGAGCCAATATAAATGACCACAGTCTGGGAAGGGAACATAATTCAAGTTGCCTTGAATAACATCTTCCATTTTTCAAAGTGGTTATATGGAATTTTTGAAGTCACAGAACAAAAGGAAATCATAAATCAAAGCACTTACTCAATACATTGGTGGTGCCATCAGGTGGATGGGTTACAAAAATATATAATTCATATACATTTTTAGTTTTCTTTTTTGAGACAAGGTAGCCTGTAGCATCAGTTGGCCTAGAACTTGCTATACAGACTAGGCTGTCCTTGATCTCACAGAGATCTGCCTGCCTCTGCCTCCCGAGAGCTAGGATTAAAGGCATGTGCCATCATGCCTGGTCCCATATATTTTTAAAAGCATGATTTTAAAAAGTGATATAACTATATTAAAATTAAGATTTTTTTGTTCATCAAGACATAAGAAGTGAAAAGCCAAGCCACAAATTTGGAGAAATACATATTTAACATATATAACCAAGCAAGAAACAGAATGCAAATGAAATAATTCTTAATATAGCATAAATTTATTTCCTAAGATAGAACATGTTAAATCTTTAAGATAAATGAGAAGAGGTACTATATCAAGAGACCTCTTTGAAATTAAACATTTAACCCCCAAACAGAAATTTCAATATAGTTGCAAAAAAAATGACATTTCTAAACAAAATAGAAAATTGGAATGAAAATATAATTCTTGATGAGCATTCCAAGAATTCTGCTGCATACTCTAGCCTGCCTCTTTCAACCTCTATAATCAACCATTCTTCCTCACCTGCCTCTTCTATAGACACTAAAAGAGCTAAAACCTAGACTCCCTAAGCTCACAGGTTGACAGAATGAGGACACAGGAACAAAGACTGTCTGTCTTGACAACATCACTGGGAGACCAAAGACTCCCTATGACTCTGCCTTATCACTGAACTTCTTATGTGAAATGATTAAGAAAATGTTTCCTATTTAACAAAAACAAAACAGATGTGAAATTCAGTATGAAGTTATAGCTATTCATCAAATAGGATAATAGAGTAAGGGCTTTATAAAATACAGAACAGTACAAAAATTTATATCCCACGCATTTATTCTTGGAACCAAAAGAAACATGTCTTCTATCAAAATGAGATGTTAACCCAGAAAGTGAGTTTGGGCAAGTGACCTTGAAAAAGCTGTACAGTGCAGGAAAACAGTGTAGACATTCAGAGGATCACTGTTAAAAGTCCAGTTTCTCCAAGAGACCCAGAGAATTCCAGACCAAGTGTTCATGCCAGTGTTTGCAGGAGACAGAAGGCTTCAGGAAGCAGGAGAGCCATGCAAACAGAAAGATACACACTGGAGTCATATGCTGAAGACCAACAGGTTTGTGGTTATTGAAACAGGTGGATAAAAGGAAGAGGGAAGAGAGCCTCTTTAAAGTTAAATGGCCCAGAAACTGGTGGGGCCACTAACCCCCAACCTAGTAGAGGGGATCTGGCAGGTTGAGATGACACGTGAAACTTGTCAAGATGATTTCCCCCCAGCAGCTAGAGCTGCAGCTGTCAAATCTGGGTCAGTAGTCATGTCCAGTGCTGTAGATCTGCAGATCACTGAAGTCTGACACATGACCAGGTTTTCTGAGTGGGTAAGAGCAGGACAAATCTGAAGTAATAACTGTAGTTAGGCAGTATGTGGGAAGAAGAGACAGATTACTTGTTTCAGATAACATCATTAGCTTCCCCCACCCCTTTCTTCTCTACAGTGAGTCAAAGAAGTAAAAAGCTTAACCAAGACCAGAAAGGAAGTGATGGCATGTACAGAAAGCAAGAACCTCTAGCAGGCTGACAGTCCTCAAGGAGAGTCTATTTATCACTAGACATTTTCTATAAGTAAATAAAAATTAAAAGCAATATTCACAACTATTTCATTACCTTAATAATATCATCAGTTCCTCCATCAACAGGTTTTGATTTCAATTCTTCAATTTCCTTGTCTAATTCTAAATAATTAAAAAGATTCCAGTTTAAAAATTAAGAAATTACTAAACTGACAAGTATATTCTAAGAAAAACCTCAAGCCTATAAGTTAGAATATATTTAAGAAGCACTCTGAGAAATATTAAGTTCACCTATATAACCATATTCCTTTTCTTTTTTCTTAGTAAGAGAAATTTCGAATGGAAGCACTGGTCTTTAAGTACCCATTACCCCACTTTAGCAGTTAACACACAGTCAATTTTGTTTTACCGGAAAATTGTACTGACTTCTTCCCTTCCCCTCTTTTCTTATTCATCCACACATGTGTGACTGTCTTGCTATATTGCCCAAGCTGGTCTTGAACTCCTGCACTTAAGTGATTTTTCTGCCTTAGCCTCCAGAGTAGTTGGGACTAGGGATGTGTACTCCTGTGACCAATTATCTGGATAACTTTGAAGCATGTCCTAGACATTCTATTATTTTGTTTGTAAATATTTATTTCTTACTGTATAATGTTAAAGCAGTAACTAAACTTATGTTAACTAAGCTTATAAATGTTAATCTGCATATTTTATCAATTCATATCTAGTTCTGGAGCCTAGGGCATCTTTCCAAGTAAGTTGTTTTCTTGATTATAAGCTGGCCCAACCTCTAAAACATAAATTAGATCTGTTCTGGTAAGAAGATAAATCTTGGCAGTTAAAAATTTTAAGTTAATGGGAATTTAAGAGTTCACCTAATAATACTAATAAAGGACACTAACATCATTTTCCTTTTGGGGTAAAAAGGACGCTGACTAGGGAATCGATCAATTTTAGCAGGTACACGCACATCAAATTTCCAGGAATATGTTTTTATGTCTCTAAGTATTTCAACTGACTTCTATAGAAAACACATGGATTATAGATTCTTCTAAATAAAGTGTGAAGTTAAAAAAATTCATTTTACAATTTTTAAAAAATACTCCTCGCTTCAATTATTCAAGAGTAAGTGCAGGGTTAGGCATGGTGGTGCACGCCAGTAATCCTAGGAAGCTAAGGCAGGAGGACTGAGAGTTTAAAGCTAGGCTGGGCTTCATATCAAGATCTTAGATCTTATTTTAAGAAAAAAAGTATAATAGTTCAGACAGGTAAAGTAATAATAATGAAAAAATCTGAGATAAATAGAATAAAATAAGCAACATTTCATTATTGTCATGTACTTGGAATCAATGGAAAAATGAAAACCAACCAACTAATGTACAATTTAAAGAACTATGCTGAAGCCAGTACCTGTGCACCTTGATTTAGCTTTCTGCAACAGCATCATTTGCTTCTTGGCAAACTTGATGAGCTCTTCCTTAGGCAACATTTCCAGCTGAAAGGTGAAGTCATATTACAAGTCGTTGTAACTCATATTTCCAGTATGCCACAAAAAAGAATTGTAATGCCTGCCTTAAAACAAAAACATTTCAGGCTGGAGAGATGGCTCAGAAGTTAAGAGCACTGGCTGCTCTTGCAGAGGACCTGGGTTTGGTTCCCAGTACCCACATGGTGACTAACAACCATTTGTAACTACAGTTCCAGGGATCTGATGTCCTCTATTGACCTCTGTGGGCACTGCAGCATACAGCTGCACTTACATACATGAGGCAATACACTCATACACATAAAATAACAATAATATACAAAATATTAGTAAACCAAAAACATTCTAAGTAAATATTTAAGCCAATTACTTTTAGAAAATAACAAATGTAACGTCAACAATGACTACTTATTAGACATAACAAGATCAAACTAAAACAGCAGCATATAAACTCTAACAGATACTATTAATTTTTGTTAACTGTACAAGTGAAGGGTTGGAAATAACAGTAAAGGTTTTTTAGAGCTGTGAAATTCATTCTTTTCCAAGCTGAAAGCCTGGCCACAAGAAAACTTAGGCATAACTATGTCCAAAGGTGAATTAGGTAACGTTTAGGCTTCAACTAAAATATTGGGCTAATCTGAAAATTACTTAACCACTGTGGTCTGTTTTCTCAACTGTAAAATGAGAATAATAAAGGTTCTTATTTCAAAATTGCCATGAAGCTTAAAGGAAAGAACTGTGTCATTTACCTAGGTAAATATGTGGAACTCGGTATGCAAACAGTAAATCTTGGTAGTAAAACAGTACCTTTCAGAATCCTTGAACGTTAAACATTGGACAGGAGAATGACCCTATTCAATCACCGACTCCAGCCAACAGGATAGTTCCTTGATCCTTATCCTAAGTTGCCGCTCCCTTCATTGCAGAATGGTATAAACTTTCTTACATCAGTCTAGTTTACATTTTCGAAAAACAGCAGGATCCTTCTGCACAGTGCTAACATGGTGCAGGAAGCAAACCAAAAGTGCTTACATATCCAGGAAATTTTTAAAAAGAAGAGGAACGCAATGGGTGACTGAAAATTAAAATGGAAATCCCTGAAGAAATCGTATTTCTTTTAAATAAGCCTACGTCAAAGTTTTGCAATTCATCCGCCTTCAGCGCTGCAGGACGCCACCGGGTCAAGCACCCCCCTCACCTTGGACTTGCCGGTCCCGGGGGCGGCCGCCACCCCATCCGGAACAGGATCCTGAAAGACAAAATCGCCAGAACGTCGCCAGCGCCAGACGCGCCGCAGACCCCGAGGAGGCAACAGCCTTCCCCGGAGGCAGGAGCGAGGCGGGCTTCCCGGGGCCAACGCCGCACCCCGGCTGCAGGAGTCTGGACCGCCGCGGGTGTGTGTCGTCGCGACCCGGCTCCCCCGACCCCCAGCGCCAAGCCCGCCAGGGACTGCGAGAACTCACTTACCTCCATCACCGCAGCCTCTGCTGGAGTCCCAGCGGCTCTGCCGCTGTCGTAGGAGAGCAGTCAAAGGTCACGCAGCCGAGGCAGCTCCGCCCCCCGCGTCTCCATAGCTACGCTGGCGGCACTTCCGCTTCCTCCTCGATGTCCAGGAGGCGGTTTCCTGGGCGGCCCGCCTGGCTTCGCTGGGAGAGAGACGCAGCCTCTTCCCCCGCCGCTTTCCGCACTCCCCCCGCCGCCGCCCCGCCCTCCCGCCGCCCCCCCTCGTCGCCCCGCCCCTCCCGCCTCGCCTCCTGAAGCTCTGCTCTTCTAAGGCTCTACCCCGCGACTAGGAGTGGCTATTTAGGGGGATAAAGTAAAGAAGGCCCAAGATGAATGGTAATTAGGCTCTGGACCTTTAACGTTCCAAATTCCACAGTCATTCAAGTTCTAATCAGTTGATCATTCTTCCCAGAAGGTTTGGTTTTAAGATGCAGTTTTCCTGGTAACTTTTGTTTCCAAACCTTATTCTAAGGCTCTACCCCGCGACTAGGAGTGGCTATTTAGGGGGATAAAGTAAAGAAGGCCCAAGATGAATGGTAATTAGGCTCTGGACCTTTAACGTTCCAAATTCCACAGTCATTCAAGTTCTAATCAGTTGATCATTCTTCCCAGAAGGTTTGGTTTTAAGATGCAGTTTTCCTGGTAACTTTTGTTTCCAAACCTTATTTCTGCTTATTCAGGAAAACTTCCTGAGCTCCCTAATTATGTATCTAGTGCTAACTTCTTTTACTGATTGAGGTAACCCATGCCTACATATATAGACTTGGCTGAATGGAATGTTTTTCAGCATATCATCTGGTATCCAGCTTGCCTGGCAGGGAGGATATTCTAAAGACCCACATCCGTCTCTCCCTTTAGTTATCAGACTTTTGAAACATCAGATCCTGAGAAATTGGAGTATCTTCAGGAGTCTCTTACTGGGAGAACAAAAAGTCTAAAGCCTGGGCTAGCCAAATGCTGGGAGTTTGTTTCATGTAAATAGATTTACAATTTGTCAGAGCACCTTGCAGGTGGGGAAACTGGTGGGTCAGTGATGGACAGGACCACACCTTGACCAGGACTTCTTAGATGTGCAAAACTGGCTCTCTCCTTAAACCTGTTAAACCCATATCAGGACCCCGAAGACTGAATTGGAAGGGTCACTGGATCTCTTTGTCTCACTTCCCAATGTGGCTGATGAGAATGGGAAGTAGAAAGTAGTCAGGCAGGGAAGGAATCCCAAAAGAGCACTTCCAGGAATGTCCTTGCTACAGGCCAGAAATGTCTGAAGAGTTCTGGTTCTTGGTTCATTGTTATCCCTCCTAAATGAGCACCTCTGCCTGGAATTCATAGGTGAGATCTGAAAGTGAGAGGAGGAACCTGGAAACTGTGGTGGGGCCTGCTGGACTGACCAGCTGACCTCTATATGACACACTGTATTTCCTGCCATAAGTGCTTTATGGTGGTGCACGCCTTTAATCCCAGCACTCGGGAGGCAGAGGCAGGTGGATCTCTGTGGGTTCGAGGCCAGCCTGGTCTACATAGTGAGTTCCAGGTCAGCTGGGGCTACAGGGAGACCCTGTCTCAAAAACACCAAAAAAAAAAAAAAAAAAAAAAAAAAAAAATTTCCCAGATGGCAGGCAGATCTGTCTGAGATCATAGCCAGCCTGGTCAACATAGTGAGTACCAGGCCAGCTGGGGCTACAGGGAGATCCTGTCTCAAACAAGCAAGTAAACAAATGAAAACCATCTCCCAGATGGTACCTTATTTCCTGGGACCCACTCCTGCTGTACAGGAGCCCGGTCTTCTCTCTAAGTGCTCATCTGTTGAATCTATTATCATAAACTTCTTTCTAAATCTTACCCTCCGTGGGCTGCAAATTTCATTTTACATCTCACTCTCTGTGGTCTGCAAATTTAATTTTTTTAATTTGCAAGACAAGAACCCAGGGGCCATTATTCAGTGGAAGTTTTGTGTTATCATGAGAGTCTTGTGCCCAATCTCCTGAGTTTAAGGCCATAGAAGGAGAGAAGAGAGGCTTCTTTTGAACTCAAAATACCCAGTTTCTGGTACCATATTGTTACATTTGATGGGAATTAAAGGAGGGTGAGTATTAAGACCAGCCTTGCTCCAACTTCAGGGCTTACACCTATTCTGTCTCATTTGCTAGACTCTCCACAGGTTGTCCCCATCTCTGTCTGAACCTTGGTCCCCCTCCTCTTTTGCCTGCCATAGACCAGCCTACTACCCTGGTTAGTAAGAGCCCATCCACTGCGCCTTGATTCCCCCGCACCCTGAGCAGCTCCAGTCTCTCTCTGCACACTGTCCTGGCATCTTGCCTTGGGCCTAGGCTTGCTCCTGCTCTTCCCACCTCAGATTTCTGGACTAGCCCCCAGCCCACTGGGACCTGGGCACCCAGACTAGCTGCGTTCTCTAGCTTCAGGGCTCTTACCTACTCTGCCAAGTTTTAGATCCTCTTCAGGTGGTCTCTACCTTTGCCCTGTCCTTGGCCCCACTCTTGATTTGCCTGTCAGGGACCTGCCTTCTACCCTGCCTTGGGCTTGGGCCTTCCTTTGCTCTTTCTACTTCAAATCTTTGGACTAACTTCCTGACCCAGGCCCTACCTACTACATCCCACATCACCTTTAGCTCTATGAATCCCTCTTGATCTTCCTACCTGAGACCTCCTCACTAGCCTACCAGAACCCAGCACTGGACCCCATATCCTTGAATTCCCTTTGCCCCCCACCAGTACTTCACACTAATCAGCTTGGAACCATCCTGACCCACCAATAAAAAAATCAAAAGCAAGAAACTAAGGCAAACACCAACTATTCATACCTGAGTAAAAAAGCAGCCCAACTATATCAACAATATAAACAGAACCAAACATGAACTAAGCAAAGGCAGAATAGAATTTCATATCAGATACACAACCAAAAAAGAAATCCATGAGTAAATAACAATGCAAGAAACAAATTATAGGAAAAAACCAAGAGACTATGTCCCTAACAAAACTCACTAGTTATATAAAAGTGTACTACAATGAGAATTTCCCAGAGGAACCCCAGGACACAGAATTTAAAAGAACAATCCTAAACGTGCTCAAAGAACTTGACACACAACTCAAAGAACTCAAAGAGGATAGGCATAAACTCCTGCCTGAAGCTCAAGAAAATACAAATATGCTGCTGAATGAAATCACAAAAACAATGCAGTACTTGAAGCATGAATTCACAAAAGAGATAGAAATAGTGAAGAAAACACAAGCCAAAATGAAGATGGAATTGAAAAATTCAGTAAATCCACTTGAAATGACAGGAGAAAAGCTCACAAACGGAATGAATGAAATGGAAAACAGAATACCAAGACTGGATGACAAAGTTGAAGAACTGGATTGCTCAAGCAAAGAATATGAAAAATGTAAAAAAAGAAAAACCCCACATGAATGAAATATGCAGGAAATGTGGGACACCATGAGAAAATCAAATATATATGTTATAGAAGAATCTCAGGTCAATAGCATTGACCAGATAGTCAAGAGGATTATAGAAGAAAAAGTCCCCAAATTAAGGAAAGACATACCTATTCAGATATAAAGCACACAGAACACCAGTTAGACAGGACCAGAGAAGAAATTCCCCATGGCATATCCCATAAAAACACTAAATGTGAAGAACAAAGAGAGGGCACTGAAAGCTGCTAGAGAAAAACAAGCTATGTATCATGGAAACCCCATCAGAATTACAGCTGATTTTTCAGTGCAAACTTTGAAAGCCAGAAGAGCCTGAACCAAAGTACTTCTGGTTCTAAATGACCATGGATGCCAACCCAGAATACTTTACCGAGCAAAAATGTCTATCGTTGTTGAAGGGTAAAGAAAAAATTTCTATGGCACAAATAGGCTGAAAGTATTCATGTCCACCAAACCAGCCCTTCAGAGAATACTTAAAGCACTACAAAGGACTGAAAATAGGAATGACTATACCCAAGAGGTTGCAGAAAGAAAATAAATGAAGGTACAATTATGGAAAAACAAAATAGAACCAAGAACACAAACAAATTGAAATGACAGTAACCAACACATATTTTAATAATAACTTTAAGTATCACTGCTGTCAACTCCCCAGTCAAAAGACTCAGGCTAGTGGAATGGATTAAGAAACAAAATCCGTCGGGCATGGTGGCACATGCCTTTAATCCAGCACTTGGGAGGCAGAAGCAGGTGGATCTCTGTGAGTTCGAGGCCAGCCTGGTTTACGTAGCCAGATCCAGGCCAGCTGGGGCTACAAGGAGACCCTGTCTCAGAAAGACCAAAAAAAAAAAGAACAGAGCCAGCCTTTGTGGTGGATGCCTTTAATCCCAGCACTCAGGAGGTAGAGGCAGGTGGATCTCTGTGAGTTCAAGGCCAGCCTGGTCTACATGGTGAGTTCCAGGCTATCTGGGGTTACAGGGAGACCCTGTCTCAAAAAGACCAAAAAAAAAAAGTGAAAACCATCACCACCACCACCAACAAAAAAATTACAAACATCAGAGCTGAAATTAATGAAACAGAAACAAAATAATACAAAGAATCAATGAATCTAAGAGCTGGTTCTTTGAAAAGCTGAAAATGACAGACAGACCCTTAGTCCAGTTAACCAAAAGAAAGAGCAAATCCAAATTAGTAAAATCAGTGATCATTACAACAAACACCAAAAAGTCCAGAACATTATAAAGGAATACTTTAAAAACCTATGCTCTATTAAATTTGAAAGTCTAAATGAAATGGATGAATTTCTTTCTTTCTTTCTTTTCTTTCTTTCTTTCTTTCTTTCTTTCTTTCTTTTTTTTGGCTTTTTTGAGACAGAATCTCCTTGTAGACCCATCTGTCCTGGAACTCACTATGTAGACCAAACTGGCCTCAAACTCAGAGATTTGCCTGCCTCTGCCTCCCAAGTGCTGGGATTAAAGGCATGCACCATGCCTGGCTAAAAAGAAATGGATAATTTTCTAAATTCATGGAAACCACCAAAGCTAAATCAAGAAGAGATCAACAGGGACTGGAGAGATGACTCAGTAGTTAAGAGCACTGGCTACTCTTGCAGAGGACCTGGGTTTGATTTCCAGCACCCA